CTCTCGTTCTGATCTACTCGCTTACAAGCCCAAAACTCAATCCGAACGCATCCCCCTCATATTCGAATTCCATCCTTCCAACAAGACTGTCACCAAAACTATCAAAGACGACTTCTCGCACCTTTAACAAATCCATACAACACTTATTTAATACACCACCTATTCTTGCCCACCGCCAGCCACCTAATTTGAAATCCCTTCTCATTCTCACCCATCACTACTAAACCTCCGTCATATGGCAATATGAAATGTAATAAGCCTCGCTGTCAAATATGCACACATATTATAACTAACGGCACAATCACACTCCCAGTCACTAACCACAAAATTCACCCCATCAACTTACATGTGACTCTACCAACGTGATTTACATCATAATATGTAATGCATGTGATCATGGCACCTACATCGGTGAAACTGGAGCTTCTTTTAGAAGTAGATTTAATAATCACAAGTCATCTATCCGCACCCATAAGAACCTTCCCATAGCCACACAATTCAATTCTCCTAACCATAACATCAATGATTTGAGATGTACACTCATAGCCAACAACTTTAAATCTCTAAACGATCGCCGCATTTCCGAACTCAAACTTATACTTAAACACAAAACCCACACCATAGGCCTTAATAGAGATATAGACTTTCTCAGTGATTACAACTTCCCATACAATTGATTCTCACCATCTCTTTATTCTGTTCTATATTGATAACTGATATGTGCTTTCTTTATTAACACCACTGTATTCGACTTAATAATTATATAATGAATAAGAATAACAATAATAACTTTAGGATAAGTAGCACGATAAATTACCGAAGTATCCGAAGCTTCCAGATGATAAGTTACCAGCTAAACTTGTGTTCTTCAGGAAATTGTCAACATTCAATAACACATCTGTAGTGTTGGTGGACGAGTTGAAAAATCCAGGTAGATAACGTACACATTCCACTCGTACACCTTTCCTCGACATACAATTCTCGCCTATATTTTGCATCCTCAATGGGCAGTTCAGTAGGGATGTTTCATTGCCTATACAATCAAAGCTTAGAATCGGGTAGGTTGAGCTATCAATCTGATCCTGTTCCGGATCTCGGTCGTAGTAAAGCACCCCAGAATTGCCAAGCTCGTAGCAGACGACAGTGGAATCGTCCAACGACCAGTTATCAGGACATACTTGGACAACATCATTCCCGCTTATCACTGAAACTTTTCCTTCGTACATTCCCGGTTTTCCGTCAGTCAAAGTAATATATGAATCTATATACAATTTGGCGAAGAATATAAATATTTTCCGTCAGTGTGAGTTAAACAATTAATTTTCTTACTTTGTATAAGTACAGTATAAAATTGTTTGCGTTGAATTGGAAATAATAAAAATAACATTAATAATGCCATTCTCATATTCTCTCAAATGCACCATCAATTTGACCAATACTCAATCTATAGACTATGGCGTCTCAACTCAGCGACAACTTGTTTGTTTTCATCTGTGTATCATTGGAAGTTACTAGCCTACCGTAATTGATCATTATAAGCAATTGCTTAAATTGGTTTTTTTTTTGTTTTTTTTTTTTTTTTTTTTTGTTTTTGTTTTTTTTAGGGAAATGACGAACAAAAGAGGGTGGATGAATGAGGTGATTGAAGGCCGTTTGTGACCCCCAATTAATGTTTTAACACAGCTATCTTATAAATTGTTGTAGTTTCGTCCAAATTTCTAACAAAGTCTAAATATAGAATAAAGTAAAACAATATCATTATCATCGCTATTGTCAACTATCATCATCCATATCTTCGACGTCGCCATCAATACAATCAACGCACCCCACTGGAAATAAGTCTTCGAATATTTGTGGTTTGTTGTATTCATAACGAATGAATCCAATCCAATCAAACCATCATCATTATCATATCATTAATTATCTATGGTTTGATTGGATTGTATTCATAACGAATGAATCCAATCCAATCAAACCATCATCATTATCATATCATTAATTAACTATGGTATCAACGTCTTCATCTTCGCGTTATTTAGTCAGTATCATTCTGATTTATATGCTGAAAAAACAGTTATCATTGGGACCCATCAATTAATATATTAATATATAATAATAACAAAATATTTTTGTTTTAATTAATCGTCATCATCATTGTTGTCAGCATAATAATATATATCATCATTATCACCATCACCATTATCATCATAACCTTTATCATTACTATCATCATCGTTATCATTATCCCCATCATCAAAATCATCATCGCCATTATCGTCGTCGTCATCATCATCATTATCTTCACCATCATGATCGTCATAATCATCATCACCATCACCCCCATCGTCATTACCATCTTCACTCATATTAGGCCTAAGAAATGTGTGTTTGCCCTCCCGCGTGGAAATTTTGTTCGAAAGGGCGGGTGTATTTTTTTTTTTAATTATTATTATTATTACAGCTAAAAATAGCATTTCAAAAGATGGATAAAATAACGGATTTTTAGTATTATAAACACATTCGACACAATGAATATATACTAAACTTTATTTTAAGGAAGCTAAGGTTACTTTATTTACTGAATCTGTACAACAGCTGCACCAAAATCCAATAAGTTTGCAGTGTGAAAAAAAACACGAAGGGTGTGGGGCGGACACTGATCACAGTCTCAGCACTTCTCTCTTTTTTTCTTTTTTTTTGTGAAAAGACGTAAAAATGTGATTTGTTTATTTTATTTTTTTCCTTGGGGAAAACACTTTTCTAAAAAATCTCAATTGATGGTGGGCCTATCTTGGTTCTGAGAAGTATCGTTTCAATTGTAATGTCTTTAAAAGCAAGATACCATCAGTTGAGATTTATAGCAGACCTATGCCACATGGTGTACCTAAAACCTATAATTGTTTAATAATTTAATTCATCATGAAAACCTTCAAGACTTATTGTTTTGCGGGAGGACAAACAAAACATTTTTTAGGCCTGGTTTGTCATCTGTCATTACACTTTTTTTTTGGTTATTTCATAAAGATAATTTGTATCATTTATACCATCTCTTATCGGAATGCAACTAACGCCAACATCTTCTTCATGTGTACAATTACCAGGGTAACTGTAGTCACAGTAAACTAACTTTGATTCGTTGCCGGTACATCTGACGTCACTCATCAAAATAATTCCTAATGAACGTTCCCGGAGCGTAATGTTCGGCAACAACCTGAACGCTCCGTAAATAAAATCCAGTTCCTTACAAATGACGTCGGCTGCATCCATGGAGAAGCCTCGACCGCAAACATTACCATAGCCTGATCCATCACTGTATTTCAGTTTAAGTATGCCTTCGTAGCTATTTTGACTCCCTTCGAGTTGAACATCCATGAACGGCTTTGCTTCTGTTATTTTTAAACGTTAATTGTGATATATGACAATCAAAGCATACAGTAATCAATTAATAAAAATAAACACTACTTACATGCAGTTTACAGTGTAAACAAATTATAAGTCTCAAATAAGGTTCAATGGTTTGTGTCTGTAGAGTACAAACATATAACTTCAAAGGAATCGTGATAATATTGACCATTACGATTTGTTTAGTT